GCTTTGCCTGAACAGACTACCCACGCTGCCATGAACACTGCACCAAGATTTACTCTCCCCCACCCCCTTTTCCCCAAAGGAGTTCAATTGTGATTTTATCTATGACACTATGGAAGAGAGATGAGGTTCCGTCTACTTTAAAACAGAACAAAACTTCTAGTCAGATGAATCTTTCTTTGTAATAGTGACCTAAAAGAAAAGATGAAGACTGTGCCCATATTTCTGAATATCATGTATGTGGCAGATAAAAGACAGCCACAAAGCCTTTGTCTCTCCCCTCATTGGGAAGTGGGGTCTGTTTTCCCTCCCTTGCACCTAGGCTGGATATGACTGCTTTGACCAAAAGAGCAGGGTGGAATGATGCTAGGCCAGCTCTGGGCTAGCCTTGAAGAGAACTGGCAGTGTTCCCTGTGCTCTCCTGGAGCCTAAGCCACTATGTAAAAAGCCAGACCACTTTGCTGGAAGAACCACGTGGAGAGGAAGAAGGGCTTGACTGAGACTAGCCTTCCAGCTGTCCCCACCAAGGAGCCAGGCATGTGAGTGAAGCTGTTTTGGACTCTGAAGACCAGCTTTGCCATCAGGTAAATGCCACTAAGTGACTCCACTCAAAGTCACATGAGCAGAAAAATCACCCAGTCAAACCATTCCTGAATCCCTGATCCCTAAATTTGTGAGATATAATGTAATGTGTGTTTAAAGCCACTCAATTTGGGGCCCATTTGTTATGCAGCATAGCTCACTAGTATAAAAGCCTGCATTTTAGGCAGCAGCACCACTGACAACCATGAAATTCTGCTGGAGTGAATGCCTTTGGGGTATCTGCCTAGTTTCCTCCTTTTCTGAGCCTTCCCCCTCACTCCCCAAATTCCCATCTTGCATCTTTCTCCCACTCTAGCCTTGGCTTTCTGTCTCCGTGGGAGACATGTGACCCAAGCTAGGCCAGGCAGATTCTCTCTCCCAGACAAGTGATCATTCTGCATCTGTGGCTAGAAGCCACTGAGACGTACATTTGGAGGGGCTATAGCAACCCTTTCCTACCGTGTGCTGGAAAGTGTAGAGAAAGCCTGTCTGCTACAGGAGAAGGAGATGGATGTGGACAGGAGGAGAGATGGGGGCTGTAGAGAAAAGGGAGCAGGGGAGGGAGGGAAGAGCTGTCTTGGTCTCTGAACCTTTTCCAGGTTTGGGTGCACACATTTCCTTCGGCATCTAGCAATGCCCTAGAATCCTTACAATTCTCTCCTCTCTCTTCAGCTTAAGCAGCTATGAGGGGATCTGTTTTTTTGCAACTGGAAAAAATGGTCTCTGTGATGCCTGAGATAAGAATGTTTAACCTTGGAAACTGAAGAAAAAGGCTGCCCAGGCCAGTGAGGTAACAGGAAAGTCCTCTGTTGACCCTCTCTCTGCTAGGCTGGGTGACAGGGCGTGAGTCTAGTCCAGCCTTGTCTCCTGTAGGCACCACACACCAGACAGCCACACCAAACTCCTGCTCTTCCAACACGACTTCGAACCCTTCCTTTCCCTCTCTGGTTAAGGGCAACCAACCACTACCTGAACTAAAAACAGGGGAGACCGCTACTCTTTCTTTCTTCCTGACCTCTCAAGTCCAACTGGTCACCAAAAACCCTGCCTGTTCTAACTTGGTCCCCTCCCCTCCACCACAGCGACTGCCCTCACCCCTCACTGCCACCAGATGTCTCTTTACGCAGTGGTCAGGCCGCTGCTCTGCTCACACACCTCCCATGCTCCCTCTGCCCTGGTCAGCGGGGCCTCACAATGTGGGGGACGGTCTCACTGTGGGCCACTGACTACCTTCCTGTGACACCCCTCCCAGGCTGCTCCCCACAATCCCTGCTTACTTTCTCACCTCTTCTTCCCACTGGATGGAATATCCATCTGCCCTTCCCTGCCTGGAAACCTCAAACCAAACCCAAGGGCAGACTCGAACAACACTTCACTTGTGGAATGTCCTCTGACTTCTACTGGGGGCTAGATGCAGTGCTAAGCACTTCCCTGCATAACCTCTCATAACCACATAATCACATTTCTCTCATAACCACATTGAGCCAGATGTGATGATTTCCTTTCTACAGAGGAGGAAACTGAGGGTCATGGAGTGTAAGTGACTTCTCCTAAGGCCTTATAACTGACAAGTGCGAGAGCCAAGACTGCAGCCCACAGCTGCCAGCCTGCAAAGCCCGGCTCTCCCCCACCACACTCCATCACGTGGCCTTTTAATCCCCTCTGGGGGCAATGGAGGGGACTCTGGCATTTTCTTGTAGTTTCCAAAGCAGCCACTGCACAGCAGCCACCACCCTCCCCTACGTTTGCAGGACTACATGGTGGGGGTGAGGTGTACAGGGCATGGGCATGGGCATGGTCACTGCTGCATCCAGTGCCTAGTCCAGTGTCTGGGTCAAAGACAGTGTTCAGTAAATGTGGGTGGAAAGGAAGTGCTGTTCTCGAAGGCTGTTCTGGCCCATGTGGCTTCATTCAACAGCTTCCTTGAAGCTTTCTGTCCACCCCATTAGTCATGGCAAGACCTTGTCTGGGTCGAGGCACACAGTGTGCCCCTTGGCTGCCAGGGTGCTGCTCCACTCTCACTCCATGTGGCGAATGCCTTCTCTGATCCTGGCTCTATGGATCCTACACAGCCGGTGACCTCAGGGTCTGGCCACCCCATGACAGCCCTATCCTGGAACCACACTTTCTTTAAACAAACACAACCAAAGCAAAGCCAAGCAGATGGCAGACAGGAAGAGGCAGTAGCGTGTGCATAGGAGATGGGACAGACAGCCCTGAGTGGTAGAGCCAAGAGGGGCGGCCAGAAGGAGGGCATGTACATCACAGGGGGAGTGTGGCACAGCCACTACACTCCTGCTTGCATCCCTGTCTGGTCCCATGCACCGAGCATGGAGGACGGCAATCCTCCTAATTTCAAGAGCCCATATAAAGGCAAAAGGAAGTGACACACATGTGCACACAGCCCTCACTACTCAGCGTGAAGCCTGTCTTTTCAGATCCCAAACACTGAGCAGGCTTTGTTCTCCACCCACAGACCAGAGGCTATCTTGGCAGGAAGGAGTTGGAGAAAAGGAAGCATTAAGAATCTATCTGGCAATGCAGATTAAATAAACAACAAATTGGCAGTTGTTTTTTTAAAAGGTAATATCCACTGTTGGCAAATATGCAGGAAAACGGACACTTCTGATGCACTGCCTGGGGGAGGGTGAATCAGTATGACTTTTCTAGAGGGTAATTTGCAATATGTAATAAAAGGCTTACAATGTGCCTTCCTTTTGACTTGGGAATTCCATTTCTAGGATTTCATCCTAAGTACATAGTGAAGGATTTGTGCAAATATTTGGCTCCCAGGATATTCACCATGGTGTTGTTAAAAGCAGTGTGAAACCAGGAGTCACCTAAATCCCAACATCAGGGGACCGGCTTAGTAAGCTGCAGATGCGGTGCAGCTTTAAATGAAGACAGTGCTGGAAATAGGCTTTTAACAACATGGAAAGATGCTCACAGTATTGTCTCTGGGGAAAAACAGGTTGCGAAATAGTACATGAGATGTATGAAAAGCACGGGAACATAAGTTTCAAGTAATATGCTCAATATATTTTTCTTCAACCTCCAGACAACATATCAGGTGAAGTACCTCTAAATTTAAAGCAATGGATCCAATTGTTAATCTGAAAAAAGCACAATAAACACTATTTTTCCTGTGCTTCTAGACTTAATAATTATACCTATCCAGATTAATAATTAAACCTATCACTTTAAATTTAGATGTACTTCACTTGAAAATACATTGAGTGTATTACTGGAAAATTTAAATAACATACTATTCAAAAGTATGTTGATTCTATGAGAATGCCTGGTCTATGTCTATATAAACAGAGGAAAAGGTCAAAAAGAGACAACACTGTGCTCATCATGGTTATTTCTGGGATGTAAATTCCTGAGCGTTTTATAACTTTTTTTCCTTGTTGATACATTATCATGTTTGATCAACACAAACATACTATTTTGTAATCCCAAAGAAATTAATTATTTGAATTTAAAATATCCATCCAAAATAATCTAAGAGACTGTTTCCATCTGCATCTGAAACTGGAACACCTGAGAAGCACAGGCTTTGGTGTCAGGAAGCCCCAGCTATGGTCCCTGGTGCTGTTTTGGAGCTGGAGACACAGTGGACAAGGACATTCCTGGGTCCCACTTACCTGGAACATCACTGCCCAGGGTAGAGGCAGACCTTCATCAGATAATGACTCTGAAACGACTACTAATGAATATAGAGGCTCTGAAGTAAAAGGACTCCAGATCTCTGAGAGGAGAGGCAAAGAAATCATTCTGGACTTGAGGGGGAGGACACCCCTTTCTCCTTAAGAAAGTGATGCTTGAGGCAAGACATGAAAGAGTAGGTGTTCCCTGGTAAAGGAGGCTGGGCAGATCTACAGCACGGCTCCCCTGCAGATGACCCACCGTGGGGCTGGGAAGCTAGGAAGAAGCCACCCACGCGGTGCTCTAGACTTAGAGCCTGTCTCAGTTACCTGAGTCTTCTGGGCAGAACGCTTTCTCATATTCCAGAGGGAAAAAAAACAAGGACTTGCTCTGCAGTTCCCTTTCTTATTCTTTCTTTGAGTAAATGGCAAACCACCCCTCTCCCAGTTTCTGTTACTCCCCAAGCTTCTGTTTTGGAGTTAGGTTCCACCATCCTCTGTTAGACCTTGTATAATGCTCTTAGGGAGGGTAAAAGAAGAGAGGCCTGAGACTTTCCCTCTCCCTCTAAAGTGGTCCAAATCCTCAGTTGTGCATGGCCTCAGGAGGAGCCAAGATTCCATTCCCTGCCTGAAGGGGACACTGCCCTTCCCTGTACCTGTACCATGAAGGGAGCTCTGACGGGAAACCCTCCAAGGTGCTCTTGCCCTGGAGAGGCGGGGAGCTGGGCATCCATGGGTAGGGACTCCATGGGGACCTGTGATTGCCAGACTCACCTTCCAGAGCAGCACAGCCAGAAGCAGGAAGATGAGGATTCCCACCAGCAAGCTGATGGCGATGATCCACCCCACGACGTAGCCTCGGGGCTCCAGGTTGTGCAAGGCCTCGAAGACCACCTAGGAGGCAATGCAGAAGTGAAAACGTTTCCCAAGTGGAATCTCTCACAGCATGATGGAGCCCAGCCTGGGCTTGACGTTTGGAGTGAACTAAAGAGAAATGGTCTCTGCTGAGTGCTTTCCTGGTTGTTGACTGATGGATATTTCACTAGCACCTGAACAGGCACTTGAAATCCAAGCCCCAGGTCTTGCGATGGTTGTAATGACAACAACCCTGATTTAAGTATCATGAAGCGAACAGAAGTGTCGACTTGGAGGACACACTATGTTCTCGATTCAGAACAGGCAACAACAGTCTACCTTTTATTTAGGTTTTGAAACAAAGAACATGGGTGTGGGTGCCACTTAAGACAGGACTTCTTTCTGAGTGCTCAGTTCAATGTGGAACTTAGTGGAATTATTTGATTAAAGCCAGTTTCCCCAGTAGATGTGTACTGCACAAGGGCTAGGACAGTCTGCGGGGGTCCCACGGCAGTGCCTAGCATGCTGGAGAAGCTCCCTCAAGGAGCTCTGCTGTGGTTTCCAAGAAACAGAATGTGACCAGCTCCCCAGAAACTCCTTCACCCTCCCTTCCAGTTACAACCCCACCAAAGGGTAACACTCCCCTAACAGCCTGGATTAGTATCACCCACTTTTGTCCTTACTATAAATGGAAGGACGCTGCATGAACTCCCATGTGTGGCTTCTTCCTCTCAACATTATGTTTGGGAGATTCCTCTAGTGTGTAGCACGGCCACCCTTGTTGCTGTGTGACATTCCACTTTGTGACTACACCACTATTTATTTATCCATGCTGTCATTGCTGGGCATTGAGGTAGTGTCCAGTTTGGGGCTACTACAAAGAGTGATTTTCAGACGATAGGCAATCCTGAGGGAAAAACACTGGGGGTGGGAGACAGACATGGGCTCTAACGACCGTCATCCTAAATCTACTAAATTCTATCTGGTTCAGATCAGCAATTCCTGTCTTTAAAGACAGATAAGTTCATGTCTCTGGGCTTTTGTCCCTAAAAAGCTGTGGATCAAACCCCCTGCCACATTGAGAATCTCTCGCAGTATCTTGTACAGATGAACTATGAGGCCTTCTGGCCAAGAGGAAAGCTGTAGAGGGAGGACGGTCGCTGTATCCTGGTCTTGGAGCAACCTTAGGCAACTACGACAGCACTCATACTACTCTCGGTTTCCTCCTCTGTAAAATTAGGGTCTGACAGAGAAAACACAATAGTTGTGTGAAAGCGCCTGCTGTCTGGTTGTGCAATAGAAGTCTGCTAAGCCCTCCTGTTCACATGAATGCCGAGACAAGCTGTGAGCTCAGTGGGGGTCAGTGGTAAAGTCCAGCCCCCTGTACTGACCCAGATGGCTTCTCAGGGACACTGAAATCTACATCCTGGCAAAGCCACGCTGGAGGTCTGGTTTTGTGGACACAGAGACAGTTAGAGTGGCTGCTACAGTTTAGTCTAGCAAATTCCACAAGAGTGCCTGTCACTTCCCTGGAATGTGACTTCATCTTTTATTATTTTTAGTGATGCCGTTCGTCCTCTTGGACACGTGTATTCTGCTTTGGCAGAGCCCATTCTCTCACATCATGACTCTAATAAACTCATCAGTGCGTGATGATCTGAGTGTCCTGCAGTTCTAAGAAGTCACATCTTAGATTAAAAAACAAAACAAAAAACCCAAAGGAAGGAACAGCAGCATGCACTACATGGAGAGTAGTCCACACTGGTGATCAGGTCTCATTTCTACCACTAATGAGCTGGGTGACCTGGTCAAGCCCCTGTACCTCCCTAAGTCTCTCTCCACACTCTTGTTTCCATGCCCAGTTACTGCCCCAGTTCAAGCCTTAGTCTTCTCTCACCAGCACTATTTCAGGAGACTTGGAGCGGTCCCCCACTGTTAGAGTTGTCTTTCTAAAATGTGGTTCTCATCACTCCACTTCTCAGCTTACACTATCAATGGCTTCCCTTCGTGCTCAGCATCTAACTCAGGATACCAGGCCCTTTATGATCTGGTCTCCTTCCTACCTTTCCAGCCCCACCAGAGCATGCATTCACACTCTAGCCAGTAAGAGTCATCCCCCCCATGAGACCTGGGTCTCCTGCCTCTCTGCAAACTGCTTCTGCCAGCAGCAATGCCCTTCTATCCTTGTCCATTATTGCTCATCTGAAAAACGTCCATACCCCTTTATCCATTAGTTCTGTACTTGAAAACTTACTCAAAGGAAAGAAATAGAAAACATAGAAAAGCTTTATGCCCAAAGAAGTTCACTGCAGAATTACTTATATCGCTGCAGAATTAGAAATATCCTAAATGTCTAACAATAGGGCAGTAGATAAGTAAATTATGGTCAGTCACAAAACGGAATATCATAGAGCTATTAAAAGTGATGACAATAAGCCTGGCCATCAAAGTATAACTTTCAAAAAATTAAAAACATAATTCTCATACAAATATATAGTGAATACATGTTGAAGATTTATTTAATTCATTACTGAGGGAATCAGCACGAGGTAAAGTTAGTTCAAAGGATCTGAAAAAAATGTTACAGAAAAAAAAAGAATGCTGAAATCAGATCACTAAATGAGATACAAAATGGGCTAATACCCTACAGGGTGATAAAGTGTAACCTTTGGGATTATATTTTCAGCCAGACAGAAATCATTTTTATCTTTCCTGGCAAGTTATTTATAACTTATCAGTCTTCTGCAAGTTAATATGTAACTTCACAGAATCTGGGCCCTAGAGAGTTAGGCAGGCCTGTTAACCAGTGTTTTTCAAATTCTAATATTTATAGAACCACAGGAGGAACCTTGTTAAAATGCAGATTCTGAAACGGTGACTTTGGAGTGGGGCCTGAGATTCTATATTTCAAACAAGTTCCCCCATGATGCAGACACTACCGGTCCGTGGACCACACTGAGTAGAGAGGGGCTAGGCAATCCTCCAGGATGATACCGAAAGCACGTGTAGTCATCTTTTTGCCTGATTTCCAAATTTTTGATACTTTAAAAAAACATGGTAATAATGTGGGAAAAATAGTAAGTGTTATAATCCTATGTTAAAAAAATCAGAATATCATTGAATATATAGAAGACTTCAGCTTTGCAGAAAAATGGTAGGATATTTAAAAATAGGTGTTTTTTGAGTTATGGGTATTTTTTTTCTATTTTCTACTTTTTACTATTTAAACATTTTAAAACTGAGCATTTTAAAGCCAAGTAAAAACATATTTTTAATGAGAGGCTCTGCTCCAATATTTCCTCTTACAAGAAGCCTGTTCTACTCCCCTCTTTTCAGGAGAATTAATCACTCTCTTAGCCCTTAGAAACAGCCATTTTCAACCTTTTTAGCAGAGAAAACCTACTGTAGCATCCCAATGTATGGAACAGAAAAAGTAGAGATTCTCTGGTTGTAAAGAAGGTGGTTAGCTAGAGCCCAGCCTGCTCAGCTCCGCTCCCAAGCCCTATTCCTCCCTTCCCAAGCCTCAGCAGCCCCTGGACCAACTCACGGGAGCCCATAGCTCCATAAACCCTAGGTTGAAAACCACAGCTGAATAGTTCACAGTCCCAGTTCTATGCCCTTCTTGCCCTGTAAGGTGATGATGAATCTCCCTGTCTATGGGCTCCAGGGGACTGTGAATTATATAGAACTAGGGCTTGAATGCATACATATCTGTCACCTGAACCAAGGGAGCGATTCATTACATGATTCATGAATGTACAAATTAAAAAATTCAACGTCCTTTCTGCCATAACACTAGATAAAGCATAAAAATGATTCTGTCTGCAATGAAAGAGATGATGAGATTTGAAGCTGGAGTCTCTGAGTGTGATCTTTTCTCTCTACTTCAAAAATATATTTGCATGTGTTACTTCTTTTGGGGAAGTCCTGCCCATCCACCTGCCCATTTTCTGTCTCTCCGTCAGTCTATCCCTCTACTCTGTCTGTCTATTTGTCCTTCCATGCATCCATCCAACATATGTGTACATAGCACCTACTATGTGCCAGACACTGTGGAGATTCATTGATGAATAAAACAGGCAGTCTTTGCCCTCACAAAACTTCCAGCCAGTATTCTAGAGAATACTGGCCAGCTAGACAAATAAATGTAAAATTATAACCGTGGAAAGTACCACAAGGGAGAGGTTCATGGTTATAAAAGACTCAGAGAGACATAAGGGTCAGGAAACAGTTCCCTGAGGAACTGCTGGAACCGACAGCTAAAGGATGGGTGGAAGTTGACTAGTCAAAGAGGGGAGGAAGATCATTCCAAGGGGAGGGAATAGCATGTGGAAAACCCTTTGGTTGGGGTGAGGTTGGCAGGGGTTGGGACAAACAGAACAAACAAGAAGCCATAGGAAGAAGCTCACGGTGAGGCTGGAGAGACAGGAAGGGCTGGAGGCCGCATTATGAATTGTATGCTTTATCTTAAAAGGGAAGGGAAGCTAAGGGAGGGTTTTTAAAGCAGGGGAGTGACATGATTTGCATTTTGCAAAGAGCATTTGGGCTACAAAATGAATACAGATTAGAAGGGGGACTGTATGTGGGGGTACAAGGAACAAACAGCCCCAGTAAGAGGGGGGAAGTGGTTTCCTCAGGGTAGATCCACACTTCAGTAAGAAAGGAGGTGGTATGAAAGAAGAGAAAAGGTTGAAGGGGAGGGGGAGTCTTGCCAGTTTTAGAGGAGCAGTTGTAAGGCAGGTAGGAGGCTGAGAGATGGGGACGGCAGAAGTTTGGACCAGCGAAGGGATGGATGGTGCACAGTGAGGACTGAAGCTGGAAACTTATGCACTGGATGTTAACTAACGAACAGAAGAAAATGAGGCACGTGAGGACTTGTCTCAGTGGAGCCTTTGAGGAGGGCAGACATCAGGCTGGGGCTATGGAGGACCCAGACACTGAGCACCTGCCTGCTGCTGTAAAGTTTAATGCACCTGAGGTTGGCAAGCTGGTGTCAGGGAACAACCAGGAGCCAACTTCCAGTCTGAGGCAGCTCGTGA